AGTGCAGCAGAAAAGATCTTTGTGATTAAGTGGACAGTGTGACAGATATTTGTGATCAAGTGGACATTACAGCAGAAAAGATCTTTGTGATCAGGTGGACATTACAGCAGAAAAGATCTTTGTGGACAGTGCAACAGAAAAGATCTTTGTGATCAGGTGGACAGTGCGACAGATCTTTGTGATCAAGTAGACAGTGCTGCAGATCTTTGTGATCAAGTAGACAGTGCTGCAGATCTTTGTGATCAAGTGAACAGTGCAGCAGATCTGTGTGATTAAGTGGACAGTGCAACAGAACATATCTGTGTGATTAAGCGGACAGTGAGACATCTGTGTGATTAAGCGGACAGTGCGACAGATCTTTGTCATCAAGTGGACAGTACTACAGATCTTTTTGATCAAGTGGACAGTGTGACAGATCTTTGTGATCAAGTGGACAGTGCAACAGAAAAGATCTTTGTGATTAAGTGGACAGTGTGATATATCTTTGTGATCAAATGGACAGTGCAACAGACAGGATCTTTTTGATCAAATGTACAGTGCAGCAGAAAAGATCTTTGTGATTAAGTGGACAGTGCAGCAGATCTTTGAGATCAAGTGGACAGTGCAGCAGATCTTTGAGATCAAGTGGACAGTGCAACAGATCTTTGAGATCAAGTGGACAGTGCAGCAGATCTTTGAGATCAAGTGGACAGTGCAGCAGAAAATATCTGTGTGATTAAGTGGACAGAGGTGTGTTGTCCGTGTAGGTGTGTTGTCCATGTATATAAGTTGTCCATGTAGGTGTTTTGTCCATGTTGGTGTGTTATCCATATATATATATATATATATGTGTTCCATGTAGGTGTGTTGTCCCTGTATATATGTTTTCTGTGTAGGTGTATTATACATGTATATGTGTTGTCTATGTAGGTGTGTTACCTCTGTGTGTGTGGTGTCCATGCATGTGTTGTTCATGTATGTGCGGTGTGCATGTATATCTGTTGTCCATGTATGTATGTTGTCAGTTTATGTGTGCTGTGCGTGTATATTTAGTAACCCAGTATGTGTGTGGTGTCCATGCATGTGTTGTTCATGTATGAGCGGTGTGCATGTATATCTGTTGTCCATGTGTGTATGTTGTCAGTTTATGTGTGCTGTGCGTGTATATTTAGTAACCCAGTATGTGTGGTGTCCATGCATGTGTTGTTCATGTATGAGCGGTGTGCATGTATATCTGTTGTCCATGTATGTCTGTTGTCAGTTTATGTGTGCTGTGCGTGTATATTTAGTAACCCAGTATGTGTGGTGTCCATGCATGTGTTGTTCATGTATGTGCGGTGTGCATGTATATCTGTTGTCAATGTATGTATGTTGTCAGTTTATGTGTGCTGTGCGTGTATATTTAGTAACCCAGTATGTGTGATGTCCGTGTATTTGTGTGCTAGGCCGTGCTGTCCGCCTTAGTGTGCTTTCGGTGTCTATGTGCTGTCCTTGTGTTTAAGCAATTATGTGTGCTGTCTGTGTGTGTATGGTGTCTGTACGGTAAGCCAGATGTGTGCTCTCAGTATAGGCCTACGTGTGCTATCTGTGCCTGTGCTGACCGTGTATGTGTGCTGTCTGTGTGTGTGTGCTGTCCGTGTCTGTGTGGTATGGCAGATGTGTTCTGTCCGTATGTGTGTGCCATTCGTGTGTATGCCTACTGTCCCGTGTATCGTGTGCTGATGGCCGGGTCTCCCACAGACACGTACCAGGCCCAGTGATCTCCGGGAGCGGAAGTCAAAGGTCAAACGGCGACGTCTGCCATCAGCCCCCGGCCCGCCCGCCCGTGTCCGTGTTGTAGCAAGCCATCAAACAACATGACTCTACAAACCTTCAACTGACTTCGTCTCCACCAGCTGTGTCAGTATTTCTGAAGTGTATCTGCCACAGAACCCCACACCGATCCAGCTGGGACGAGGAAAGCCCACATGAGGTGACTGGTCTGTCTGCTCGTTCTAGTTTGTAGCAAGTGGTTGTCGATTTCTCACCAATCCCCCAAACGTGTTAGACTGCTAGTTTCTTTTATGGCTCTTGGACATCACGCACACACGACGCATCATTTGTATTCTACACATCTGATGTGGACCTCTGCTCTTAGACAACAACCCCATTGTTTACAAATCCTATCTTATATAAACCGAGAGACAGCCAAGGGGCGTAGTTGAGCTTGTTGTTGTGTGTTGTGTCCGGCCTGTGGTGTGCTGATGTTGTTGGGCGGTGGGTGTTTCCCAGTTCAGTGTCTCCCTGCCTGCTTAATCTTATTGTTATTGTCTGCTATGTCTCCTACACCTGCTTGTATTGAACCGTCTTGTTTCACACAGCGTGCAACAGTCGTCACTTAATAAATATATGTCGTTTTATTCTCTGTTAGTGTTGGGTGAAACTAACAGGAAGTGATAGCGACTATTTTTTTTTTTATTAGGACTTAAACACCCAGATATCTCCCTTGTCGACTTTTACTTTTACGTTAGCGACGTGGGGTGAAACAAGTTGTGATCCAGCATTTGATGGATAGCCCTTGCTATTTCATGCCATGAATATAGGATGTAAGAAGAGTGTAGGTTGCATCATGTCATTAATGCTACCAGTACACTTTGGGCAACTTCTTGTCAACATAAGATCTGAACTTTCTAGTTGAGGTTACACCAGATCTTCTTCTTCTTAGCATTCAGCTGAAGCTGAAGCTGACTGCAGAGAAAGCTCTGTTTCTTTGTCCTCTTTTGAACTTGAGTTTTACAGACACATCTGTTTGTCAGATCTGGCTTATTTGTATGCAGACTGTTGATTTCTCATATCTCAGGCAGATGCACTCCAACTTTGAAGAAACATCTGTAAATAATTGACTTTTACAACTTGTTAGGTGTGCAGTTGATCCATTCTTCTTCCCCAAAATGGGACCCGAAAATCACAGGGGAACACACCGCTCTAGCAGAAAGTCCTAGTTGTTCATCCATTTAGACTTTTGCTTTTTTAACCAGGGCCTGAGTTGTGTTCACATCCATCTCACTTGCTTATCTGTGTGTCACTGGTTGTTTGGGCAGATTCACTCCCTCAACTTCAAGGAAGTCCCCAGTTAGTCGACTCTTAGGATATGCTTGCTGGGGAGGTAGTGGGTCTGTTCTTTATCTACCTACAGAGGGGACCCAAAACCCACACGGGAAAGGGGGGACATTCAAACAGTAAATTTATTATTACCCAGTTAATTGGCTGGCACTTTTCTCTGTCACTGAGAAGTGATCAACACAGGAGGTGACTGCAGGCAGGCTCATATGATCACACTGTCTCTTGTGACACTGTCCAAGCCATCAGCCTCAGTCGGAGGTTAACCCACACTGTATGTAAACTTTGTATTTATGTATCCGATGAGATACACAAAATATACCAGGCAGTCACTTGTGCAGTGTATTGTTTATGCCTGCAATTATTAAATTCACAACAGAGAAACTGTTTTTGAAGTGAACCTGTTGATTTTTGGGACTAGATTGTGTTCTGACTACACTCTCAAGTGTTGAATATTGAAATAAGAATCAACATCATAGCACTCGGGACACCCGCATAATTGCTCCATCCCCATCTTCAGCAGCAAACAAAGAGTTCCAATTCTGATAGCACCAGTAACTGTCTGAATGTATATCTGTATCACCCTTCCCTTGAGTGTTGAGCATCAGCCCGATCCCCTGGTAACTCCTCGCAGTGCCATTCTCCTCAGACCGTAATGATCTTTTTGTGCTTCCGCACTGTTCACTCTACTCTCAAGTATAATCATCCAGCATTTACTCTGTTTTTATAGTCTTTATTCTGACTACTCTCAAGTGTAATTATCCAGAGTTTACTCTGTTGTGACAGTCTTTATTCTGACTCTTCTCTCAAGTATAATCATCCAGCATTTACTCTGTTGTGACAGTCTTTATTCTGACTCTACTCTCAAGTATAATCATCCAGCATTTACTCTGTTTTTATAGTCTTTATTCTGACTCTTCTCTCAAGTATAATCATCCAGAGTTTACTCTGTTGTGACAGTCTTTATTCTGACTCTTCTCTCAAGTATAATCATCCAGCATTTACTCTGTTGTGATAGTCTTTATTCTGACTACTCTCAAGTGTAATTATCCAGGGTTTACTCTGTTGTGACAGTCTTTATTCTAACTCTTCTCTCAAGTATAATCATCCAGCATTTACTCTGTTGTGATAGTCTTTATTCTGACTCCTTCTTTTTCTTCTTCACTTCCTTTTTTATCGCTGTGGGTGATAAAAGGTTGTTTCAGAACCTAGTTTTATGTGCAGATCAGTTTTACAGATCTGGCTTATTTGTATGCACACTGTTGATTCCTCACTTCTCAGGCAGATGCACTCTGACTTTGAAGGAAATATCCCTAATTAGCCGCCTGTTACAACATATATTATGGGGCGCAGTGGGTCTCTACCCCCTCCCAATGAGACCCCAGACCCCACATTGAAATCGTAACACTTTAAGCTGTGAATTTCACTTTGAATGCTTTTTAACAGCTCAACATGGGCTGTTGCCACACAACTTATGATGCTTTATATGATATCGTGTATGCAACTGATGATCTTTTGCAATTACTGCTTACATCGACCTCAATTCTAATGGTTTATATTGAGAATTTTTATGGCTGTCTTATGCATTTAATGCCTGTGTACGAAATTGGTTTTGTCAGGACTGTAGTCTTTTTTAGATTTGTCACAGGGAACAGTGATAGACATTCTGTGTAGTTTTTGTTGGCACAGAAAAGAAGCAGCTGTAGGACATCTGATTTGCTGCCAAGTTGGAACTGTGATTAATTAACCCATCTTCTGAATGGAATTTATACTGAGGGGATTTGATATCCAGTGGGTTTCTTTACAAATAATTCACATGCTTTGACTTAGTCTTTGTCATGCAGTGACATCTGGGCCATTAATGTTATTGATATAAATTGTTTTTCTGAAATTCTTTATCAACAGAGAGCAAGCAGGACAGCATGGGGAAATTCTTGTCGAAAGTCTTTGGTAATAAAGAGATGCGGATTCTCATGTTGGGGCTAGATGCTGCCGGCAAGACCAGTATCCTTGCCTGCCTGGCTGGGCATGTCATGAGGGATCCAGTTGTTAGATACAAGGAGACTGTCGCTGGAATGTTGTAGTAAAACTGTCGCTGGGATGTTGTAGTACAACTGTCACTGGAATGTTGCAGTGCAACTGCCACTGGAATGTTGTAGTGCAACGGTCACTGGAATGTTGTAGTGCAACTGCCTCTGGAATGTTGTAGTACAACTGCCACTGGAATGTTGCAGTACAACTGCCACTGGAATGTTGTAGTACAACTGCCACTGGAATGTTGTAGTACAACTGTTACTGGAATGTTGTACTGTCACTGGAATGTTGTAGTTCAACTGTCACTGGAATGTTGTAGTACAACTGCCACTGGAATGTTGTAGTACAACTGCCACTGGAATGTTTGAGTACAACCATGACTAGAATGTATAAGTACAAAAGTCACTGGAATGTTTGAGTACAACTGTCACTAGAATGTTTCAGTATAACTGTCACTAAAATGTTTCATTAAGACTGTCACTAGAATGCTAGAATGTTTCATTACAAATGTCACTTGAATGTTTCAGTACAACTGTGACTAGAATGTTTGAGTTGGCAGTAGATCTATCACCCCCCTCCCCTTTATGTTTTGCTTCTTAGGGACAAGGGATCTATCCCTCACCCCAAGATAGGGCTCTAAAACTCACACAAGTATGAAACAGTTTACGATTTGACAGTTGCTTGCGAGATCTTGCTAGCTGCTACAAGAAAGATTAATGCCATTGAGAATTGAGAAAGTGAATATAGTTTTCACAGTTAATCTGTTTCATTTCTGCCTGTATGAAATTTGTAACTGACCAAACAAAAACAGAAATATTTCTTGAACTTGAGGTAAGCACTGTTGTACAAGATGAAACTAGGCCAGTCTGTGACAACCATCCCCACTGTTGGCTTCAATGTTGAAACTGTCACGTACAAGAATGTCAAGTTTAATGTATGGGTATGTTAATTTATGGTTGTTGTCCTTCTGCTTTTCATCTTACAGCCAGGTCAGTCTATCCTTTGCCATCGCTTGTATCTCACTTCATGTCCTCTCCACTTTTTTGCACGATGGGAAGACAATAAGTGAGTCTTATATGGTTGTTTTTTTTTTTTTTTTTTTTTTTCAAATTGCATCATAAAGCAATGATATAACTTTTTGCTGATAAACATTTGTTACCATAAGCCGAAAGCATTTTCTTTTAAATGTCCTTTGCAGGCATCTCTTTTGCCCCCCCCCCCCCCCCCCCCCCCCGCACCCCCCTAAAAAAACATAATAGCACGTTGTTCTTTGAGCGTACACACTGTAAGTACAGTCGCCATTTTGTTTCTGTGCTGCGGATGCACATGCAACACCTAGCTCTACGTAACGAACGCAGTCATAAAGTTCGATGTTGCTATTACCTAATGACACCTTTAGAAAACACCATCTACATTTTCCTGTAATCCCATAACCATTTGTGACTTACTTATTGACTTCCCCTAGTAATCAAGATAAAGTTAATTATATATCCTTTCTAAGACGTTCCAGAAACAACCCCAGCATTTATTTTGTTTTTCGCTGTTGTGGTTTTTAGACAGATTTTACATTCAGTAGTTTGAATTTGCTTTCTGAATGGTCAGCTATCGTTACCGCTGTCAAAGTCAACGCAAGACAAATCGTCTGCAGCTGGAATCGAACCCGTCACCCTGCATTACGAAGTGCATTGAGGCATAGCTGGACCAAAGGAAGTCTTTACAGTTGTTTTGTTCCCAAGTATCTAAGTGTATTTCTATAAAGTGACTGATCACTTATCAGAAGTGTCGCACCATAGTTAAAGTAGTACAAACTCTGCACAAACTCTGTAAGTCTGATGAAAAATCTCAAGAAAACACAAGATTATGGAGTCAAAAACTGAACCACTGACCACCAAAGCACTAGGCCAATGGTTTAACTACTTCACCATGGGGGTATGAGTATTGAGAAAGAATAAATACTTGACATATATTCAAGTAGCCAAGTAAAATCAATAGTTCGCTTAGTGATGGCTGCTGTATATGACTTCTTGGAAAAATGTCTGATCTCTTTGTTGGGATATCTCTTGAAAGCCGCGGTGTCCAACATAATTTTATCCAAGTTACATCGCTTGAAATATCGGTATAGATTGTTGCTGTCTGTAGTCATCAACATTGACACGAACACTTGGGAGCTCAGCTGCAGACTGACTCCTATGAATGCAGACAGTGAAAGACGGACTGTTACAGTCTAAAGGAGGCAAAACTCGGCAAGCTGTAGACATGAGAGAAAACCAGCCTCAGTATAATCGAGTGACAACGGACTATGTAGCACAGACTGTCACTCCTACATTAGACTTTACAGTCGTGGCAGGCGCTATCTAAGCTTGTGGCACATCAGCTTGGTCCCTAGGGATTGATAGCTGTGGAGATTCTGTGACAGTTACATGAATGTCTGTATTTTTATTTGTAATTGTATCTACATCTGTTTGTGTGGTGTATTTTTGTTTGTAATTGTATCTACATCTGTCTGTGTGGTGTATTTTTGTTTGTAATTGTATCTACATCTGTCTGTGTGGTGTATTTTTGTTTGTAATTGTATCTACATCTGTCTGTGTGGTGTATTTTTGTTTGAAATTGTATCTACATCTGTTTGTGTGGTGTATTTGTGTTTGTAATTGTATCTACATCTGTTTGTGTGGTGTATTTTGTTTGAAATTGTATCTACATCTGTTTGTGTGGTGTATTTGTGTTTGTAATTGTATCTACATCTGTCTGTGTGGTGTATTTTTGTTTGTAATTGTATCTACATCTGTTTGTGTGGTGTATTTTTGTTTGTAATTGTATCTACATCTGTTTGTGTGGTGTATTTTTGTTTGTAATTGTATCTACATCTGTCTGTGTGGTGTATTTTTGTTTGAAATTGTATCTACATCTGTTTGTGTGGTGTATTTGTGTTTGTAATTGTATCTACATCTGTTTGTGTGGTGTATTTTGTTTGAAATTGTATCTACATCTGTTTGTGTGGTGTATTTGTGTTTGTAATTGTATCTACATCTGTCTGTGTGGTGTATTTTTGTTTGTAATTGTATCTACATCTGTTTGTATGGTGTATTTTTGTTTGTAATTGTATCTACATCTGTTTGTGTGGTGTATTTTTGTTTGTAATTGTATCTACATCTGTTTGTATGGTGTATTTTTGTTTGCAATTGTATCTACATCTGTTTGTGTGGTGTATTTTTGTTTGTAATTGTATCTACATCTGTTTGTGTGGTGTATTTTTGTTTGTAATTGTATCTACATCTGTTTGTATGGTGTATTTTTGTTTGCAATTGTATCTACATCTGTCTGTATGGTGTATTTTTGTTTGCAATTGTATCTACATCTGTTTGTGTGGTGTATTTTTGTTTGTAATTGTATCTACATCTGTCTGTGTGGTGTATTTTTGTTTGTAATTGTATCTACATCTGTTTGTGTGGTGTATTTTTGTTTGTAATTGTATCTACATCTGTTTGTGTGGTGTATTTTTGTTTGTAATTGTATCTACATCTGTTTGTGTGGTGTATTTTTGTTTGTAATTGTATCTACATCTGTCTGTGTGGTGTATTTTTGTTTGTAATTGTATCTACATCTGTTTGTGTGGTGTATTTTTGTTTGTAATTGTATCTACATCTGTCTGTGTGGTGTATTTTTGTTTGTAATTGTATCTACATCTGTCTGTGTGGTGTATTTGTGTTTGTAATTGTATCTACATCTGTTTGTGTGGTGTATTTTGTTTGAAATTGTATCTACATCTGTTTGTGTGGTGTATTTGTGTTTGTAATTGTATCTACATCTGTTTGTGTGGTGTATTTTTGTTTGTAATTGTATCTACATCTGTTTGTATGGTGTATTTTTGTTTGCAATTGTATCTACATCTGTTTGTGTGGTGTATTTTGTTTGTAATTGTATCTACATCTGTTTGTGTGGTTTGCTTATGAAGGTTTCATAGCCAGAACATTCATTTTGTCGTTGTCGCATTAAGATGCGGACTACTCTCATTCTCATTTTGATTGATATTTTTTCCTAACATTCATGCTCTGTTGTTAGCTGATAATGCTAATATAAAATTTTGTTCTTTGGTGTATTGTTGGTTGTCCCAAAACAGGATGTCGGGGGACAGGACAAAATACGACCCTTGTGGAGGCATTATTTCACAGGAACTCAGGGGCTGATCTTTGTGATAGACTGTGCTGATCGTGATCGCATCGATGAGGCTCGCCAGGAGCTCCACCGTATCATCAATGACCGTGAGATGAGAGATGCCATCATCCTTGTGTTCGCCAACAAACAGGATCTTCCAGATGGTAGGCATAGTCTATTCTGTGTAGTTTTAGGTATTAGTTAGAAATCGAAAAGAGTAGCCTAACAGCGTTGCCCAGGCAAAATTGGAGTTAGAAACATACCCAGAATATTTCAGTATCCTCGCTGGTGCTACAGTACTCGTGCACTGCGCTGAGCTACTTCGGACTCTAACTTGAGTTAGAAGTAGAACGGAGCACTTAGGGGTACTAGCTGTGTGCCTTGATGTTGATCCGTTGTTCAAACATCAAACCTCAAACCTAATAAGTATCCTTCAAATGGTAGGCAAAGTCTCTTCTGGGTAGTTTTAGGTATTTCCTCACATTGAATTAAGTATCCTTTAGATGGTAGGCAAAGTCTCTTCTGTGTAGTTTTAGGTATTTCCTCACATTGAATTAAGTATCCTTTAGATGGTAGGCAAAGTCTCTTCTGGGTAGTTTTAGGTATTTCCTCACATTGAATTAAGTATCCTTTAGATGGTAGGCAAAGTCTCTTCTGTCTAGTTTTAGGTATTTCCTCACATTGAATTAAGTATCCTTTAGGTGAAAGGCAAAGTCTCTTCTGTGTAGTTTTAGGTATTTCCTCACATTGAATTAAAGTATCCTTTAGGTGAAAGGCAAAGTCTCTTCTGTGTAGTTTTAGGTATTTCCTCACATTGAATTAAGTATCCTTTAGATGGTAGGCAAAGTCTCTTATGTGTAGTTTTAAATATTTCCTCACATTGAATTAAGTATCCTTTAGATGGTAGGCAAAGTCTCTTCTGTGTAGTTTTAGGTATTTCCTCACATTGAATTAAGTAGATGGTAGGCAAAGTCTCTTCTGTGTAGTTTTAGGTATTTCCTCACATTGAATTAAGTATCCTTTAGATGGTAGGCAAAGTCTCTCCTGTGTAGTTTTAGGTATTTCCTCACATTGAATTAAAGTATCCTTTAGATGGTAGGCAAAGTCTCTTCTGTGTATAGTTTTAGGTGTTTCCTCACATTGAATTAAGTAACCTTTAGATGGTAGGCAAAGTCTCTTCTGTGTAGTTTTAGGTATTTCCTCACATTGAATTAAAGTATCCTTTAGATGGTAGGCAAAGTCTCTTCTGTGTAGTTTTAGGTATTTCCTCACATTGAATTAAGTATCCTTTAGATGGTAGGCAAAGTCTCTTATGTGTAGTTTTAGGTATTTCCTCACATTGAATTAAGTATCCTTTAGATGGTAGGCAAAGTCTCTTATGTGTAGTTTTAAATATTTCCTCACATTGAATTAAGTATCCTTTAGATGGTAGGCAAAGTCTCTTCTGTGTAGTTTTAGGTATTTCCTCACATTGAATTAAGTAGATGGTAGGCAAAGTCTCTTCTGTGTAGTTTTAGGTATTTCCTCACATTGAATTAAGTATCCTTTAGATGGTAGGCAAAGTCTCTCCTGTGTAGTTTTAGGTATTTCCTCACATTGAATTAAAGTATCCTTTAGATGGTAGGCAAAGTCTCTTCTGTGTATAGTTTTAGGTATTTCCTCACATTGAATTAAGTAACCTTTAGATGGTAGGCAAAGTCTCTTCTGTGTAGTTTTAGGTATTTCCTCACATTGAATTAAAGTATCCTTTAGATGGTAGGCAAAGTCTCTTCTGTGTATAGTTTTAGGTATTTCCTCACATTGAATTAAGTAACCTTTAGATGGTAGGCAAAGTCTCTTCTGTGTAGTTTTAGGTATTTCCTCACATTGAATTAAAGTATCCTTTAGATGGTAGGCAAAGTCTCTTCTGTGTAGTTTTAGGTATTTCCTCACATTGAATTAAGTATCCTTTAGATGGTAGGCAAAGTCTCTTATGTGTAGTTTTAGGTATTTCCTCACATTGAATTAAGTATCCTTTAGATGGTAGGCAAAGTCTCTTATGTGTAGTTTTAAATATTTCCTCACATTGAATTAAGTATCCTTTAGATGGTAGGCAAAGTCTCTTCTGTGTAGTTTTAGGTATTTCCTCACATTGAATTAAGTATCCTTTAGATGGTAGGCAAAGTCTCTCCTGTGTAGTTTTAGGTATTTCCTCACATTGAATTAAAGTATCCTTTAGATGGTAGGCAAAGTCTCTTCTGTGTATAGTTTTAGGTATTTCCTCACATTGAATTAAGTAACCTTTAGATGGTAGGCAAAGTCTCTTCTGTGTATAGTTTTAGGTATTTCCTCACATTGAATTAAGTAACCTTTAGATGGTAGGCAAAGTCTCTTCTGTGTAGTTTTAGGTATTTCCTCACATTGAATTAAAGTATCCTTTAGATGGTAGGCAAAGTCTCTTCTGTGTAGTTTTAAATATTTCCTCACATTGAATTAAGTATCCTTTAAATGGTAGTTCTCAACCTGCTGGTCGCGACCCTTTTTTTTTTTTTTTAGTTGAATGACCCTTTCGAGTGGGTCATTTAAGACCATCGGAAAACACTTCATTAAGGTTATGTAGGAAAATTATTGTTTGTGGGTTGCCACAACATGAGGGAACTATATTAAAGGGTTGCAGCACTAGCAAGGTCGAAAGTCACTGCTTTAGATGGTAGGCAAAGTCTCTTCTGTGTTGTTTTAGGTATTTCCTGATATTGTATTGAGTTTTCTTTTTGATTGCTTTTGGTATTTCATCACATGTTTCTAGTATTTTTAAAAATATTTAGATATTTTATGTTATTATTTCCTAACAGTTTTTTTTCGTAATGTATTATTGTGTATTTCATAACGTGTCATTAGGTATTTAAAAATATTTTATTTTATGTACGTACAGACTTTCACAGCCATGTGGTTACACAAATGTTACTTTGATCTTCCCGTCAGACATGAAGTTACACAAATGTTACTGTGATTTTCCTGTCAGCCATAAAATTACACAAATGATACTTTGATGTTCCTGTCAGACATGAAGTTACACAAATGGCACTTTGATCTTCCTGTCACACATGAAGTTACCCAAATGTTACTTTGATGTTTCTGTCAGACAGGAAGTTATAAAAAAAGTTACTTTAATCTTCCTGTCAGACATGAAGTTACACAAATGTTGCTTTAAGCCATCAAGTTACACAAATGTTACTTTGATCTTCCTGTCTGCCATAAAGTTACACAAATATTACTTTAAGCCTTGGAGTTACACAATTGTTAGTTTAATCTTCCTGTCAACCATAAAGTTATAGAAATGTTACTTTGATCTTCCTTTTAACCATGATGTTACACAAATGTTACCTTGATCTTCCTGTCAGTCATAAAGTTATAGAAATGTTACTTTGATCTTCCTTTTAACCATGATGTTACACAAATGTTACCTTGATCTTCCTGTCAGTCATAAAGTTACACAAATGTTGCTTAAAACTATGAAGTTACACAAATGTTACTTTCATCTTCCTTTTAGCCATGAAGCCCCATGAAATACAAGAGAAGCTAGGATTAACACGAATCAGGGACCGTAACTGGTATGTGCAACCATCTTGTGCCACAACAGGCGATGGACTGTTTGAAGGCTTGACTTGGTTGACCTCCAACCACAAGTCCTGAAATTTGCATCTCTAGTGTAAATAGATAGATCCCTTATATCACATGTACATAAACTAGAATATAGCAAACTGTTTTCTTTTAATCTAATGTTACATCTAATTGGGAGAGGTAGGAGAAAGAGGATAGACCCACTGTTCCCAACAAGCAAATCATATCTCTTTAGAGTCCTGCCTAGAGATTTGACCAGCTCTTTAGAGTCCTGCTTAGAGATTTGACCAGCTCTTTAGAGTCATGCTTAGATATGTGACCAGCTCTTTTAGAGTGCTGCCTAGAGATTTGATCAGCTCTTTTAGAGTGCTGCCCAGAGATTTGACCAGCTCTTTAGAGTGCTGCTTGGAGATTTGACCAGCTCTTTTAGAGTCCTGCCTAGAGATTTGACCAGCTCTTTTAGAGTGCTGCCTAGATATTTGACTACCTCTTTAGAGTGATGCCTAGAGATTTGAACAGCTCTTAAGAGTGCTGCCTAGAGATTTGAACAGCTCTTAAGAGTGCTGCCTAGAGATTTGAACAGCTCTTTAGAGTGCTGCCTAGAGATTTGAACAGCTCTTTAGAGTGCCCCCTAGGGATTTGAGCAGCCCTGCGGTGTCACCTTCTGGATGTAAAGCCAACGGTGCTTGTTTGCCCTCCCAGAAAGCCATAAAAAGAGCCCCTGTAACAGCTGCACTAAAGTAAAGGCTGCCGTCATGTGTATACCCTGCAGTCCTGTGTGGATAAGGAATCATCTAAATCAGTGGTTCCCAATTAGATGAGACCCGGGGACCCAAGACTTTTAAATTAGTCATATTTTTTGTAAAGAGTAAATCTTTTTTAGAATCACACATTACACTAGGGTTGCGAGGTTTTGTTTTAAAATGAAGTCACGAACCCCTTAACCTTTCACCTGGAAACAGTAAAACAAAATAGGTCATAATCCTCTTATATTTCCTAAAATAATATGTAAAAGTAACAGCTCATTAATAAGTTCATTTGAAATGTATTTATTTACTGTGTCAAAGAAGAAATGTAGATCAGCAAGCTCTACAGTATAACATGCACAAATGAGAAGTGGACGTTTCAGAAACAGAGCCTTCATCAGCACATACATAAATCAAACAAAATCACACAAATACACAAAAATCAACTTTACTAATGAATCCTGAAGCAGCTACGTTGATCCTTTGTCGGTACTGGGGTACCATAATCAGGGGGAAAAAACAGGCTGAATCATTAAATAAGCATTGGGCAACCTTTTTATATATATATATTTTTTTTTGGTGTGTTTGTGGGCCAAATTAAGAATTGCGAACCTGGTCACAGGCCATATAGAAAAAAACACATTACAAACATAACACTGAGATTTCATCATAACACAATATTTTTTGTGAGATTATCTAAGGTTATAATTCCTCACTACACCTTCTGTAAATTTCTAAATGTGTCTGCTCAAATTAAAAAAAAAGTGACCATTGCCCAATACTTTATTGTCAGAGTCCATCGACAGATACTGTCTCCTATCTGGGTTTGTCCACAACACATGTTTCGCTAGCACGATCACAGATTTGGCAGCATTAGTTTCTGTTACACCAGCTCTGTCGACCAGTAAAAACTGCTCCACGGGGTAGTTCTGGCTCGCTGGCCATAGTTTGCCCACCCCTGCATAAAATGAAATTCATCCCACAAGGCCTAGAAACACATACATATATCTGATGACACTGCTGCAGTGACCCCATGACCTCTATCACTGAGGCTTTCATGAAAGCCCATTAGCTCAGTGGAAAAACCTCCTAAATGCTATTGTTAGTCTATGTATTCATATGCCTACCTCCAAAATTATGCTTCTTGTAAACAGGTCACTGTAGACCAGTCAGTAATGTGACATGTATGTGAACTTGACACAAGCAGGAGTATGAAAGGGATACATTTATTCTGCGGATAAGTAGTTTTTCTCTTAGCTGAGGCTTAGTTGGGAAGTAGGTAGTTGTAGATGCCTCCGGTGATGTAATTAAATGATATATCATCTCCCTCATAGATTGTAACTAGTTGATGCTTCCATAGTCTGCCTCTGAGGATAGTTAGTGGACAGATTATCCTCATTGCACGTCAAACCACTCAGTCCATGAGTGTTTGGATCCCCTCCTCAGTAAATCCCACAGCATGTAGTGGCTAACAACACCAGTTTTGTGTTCGTTTATTATTCTTTTTTGACTACCCATGTGGTGTTCTTGTTTGGCGACACCCCTTTTAACATGTTGTTCTTGCAGTCTGACCATGGTTGCAGATTCACAGTTCTCAGTTGGTTCACGCAAACGTCTTAACTCTCTTAGAGCATTCAGAATACCAGCCTGGTCCGTGGCTTGTCCGGCTCTCACAGTAGACTTACCTGCAAGCCTATCAGCTTGCTCATTTCCTTGTACCCCCACTGTCCTGCCTCTGAGGATGTAACTAGCTAATGTCCTCATAGACTGCCTCAGAGACAATAATTATCTAATATCCCTGTGGGCTGTCTCAAGAGATGTAACTAGCTAATGTCCCCTGTGGCTGCCCCTGGGGATGTAACTAGCTAATGTTCCCCAGTGGGCTGCCTCAAGAAATGTAAATAGCTAATGTTCCCATTAGGCTGCCAATTGGAATGTAACTAGCTAATGTCCCCATATGCTGCCCCTAGGGATGTAACTAGCTAATGTCCCCATAGGCTGCCCCTAGGGATGTAACTAGCTAATGTCCCCATAGGCTGCCCATGAGGATGTAACTAGCTAATGTTCCCCAGTTGGCTGCCTCTAGTGATGTAACTAGCTAATGTCCCCATATGCTGCCCCTAGGGATGTAACTAGCTAATGTCCCCATAGGCTGCCCCTAGGGATGTAACTAGCTAATGTCCCCATAGGCTGCCCATGAGGATGTAACTAGCTAATGTTCCCCAGTTGGCTGCCTCTAGTGATGTAACTAGCTAATGTCTCCATAGGCTGCCCCTGGAGATGTAACTAGCTAATAAGCCCATAGGCTGTCCCTGGGGATGTAACTAGCTAATGATCCCCATAGGCTGGTCCTAGAAATGTAACTAGCTAATGTCCCTGTAGGCTGCCCCTGGGGATGTAACTAGCTAATGATCCTCAGTAGGCTGCCCCTGGAAATGTAACTAGCTAATGTCCCCAGTAGGCTGCCCCTGTGGATGTAACTAGCTAATGTTACCATTTGGCTGCCCCTGGGGATGTAACTAGCTAATGTTCCCAGTGGGCTGTCTCTAGTGATGCAAATAGGTAATTTCCCAAGTAGACTGCCCCTGGGAATGTAACTAGCTGATGTCCCCATTAGGCTGCCTCTAGTGATGTTACTTGCTAATGTCTCCATAAGGCTGCCTCAAGTGATGTAACTAGCTGCTCCTGGGGGATGTAACTAGCTAATGTCCCCCAGTGGGTTGCCTCTAGTGATGTAACTATCTGATGTCCCCATTAGGCTGCCTCTAGTGATGTAACTAGCTAATGTCCCCATTAGGCTGCCTCTAGTGATGTAACTATCTGATGTCCCCATTAGGCTGCCTCTAGTGATGTAACTATCTGATGTCCCCATTGGGTTGCCTCTAGTGATGTAACTAGCTAATGTCCCCATTAGGCTGCCTCTAGTTATGTAACTAGCTGATATCCCCATTAGGTTGCCTCTAGTGATGTAACTAGCTGATGTCCTCATTGGGTTGCCTCTAGTGATGTAACTAGCTCATGTCCTCATTGGGTTGCCTCTAGTGATGTAACTAGCTGATATCCTCATTAGGTTGCCTCTAGTGATGTAACTAGCTGATATCCTCATTAGGTTGCCTCTAGTGATGTAACTAGCTGATGTCCTCATTGGGCTGTCTCTAGTGATGTAACTAGCTGATGTCCTCATTGGGTTGCCTCTAGTGATGTAACTGGCTGATATCCTCATTAGGCTGCCTCTAGTGATGTAACTAGCTGATGTCCTCATTAGGCTGCCTCTAGTGATGTAACTAGCTCATGTCCTCATTAGGCTGCCTCTAGTGATGTAACTAGCTGATATCCTCATTGGGTTGCCTCTAGTGATGTAACTGGCTGATATCCTCATTAGGCTGCCTCTAGTGATAAAACTAGCTAATGTCCCCATTAGGCTGCCTCTAGTCATGTAACTAGCTGATGTCCTCATAGACTTCCTTAGAGACAATAGTTAACTAAATCCCTATGGGGGGCCTCAAAAATTGTAACAGAGTTCATAACCTGGTTGTGGATGAGAAACCATATGATACTCAAGCAAATATTTCCAGTAAATTAATATATTATATTTATTTCATACATGTACGTCTTTCCTCTAGTTATTTGCCTAAATTATGTCAGATTTGACTGCCAGAGTGTGTTTTACCAAACTGTCTTGCAAAGTTTGACTACTAGAAATGTGTTTTGTAGAATTATGTAAATCTTTTCTGCCACAGTGTGTTTTGTTAAATTATCATGTCAACTTTAAATGCCAGAGAGTATTTTGTTTATTTTATCTGGTCAGCTTTGACTGCTAGAGTGTGTTTTATTGTATTATAATGTAAACTTGACTGCTAGGGTGTCTTTTGTTAAATTGATTGATTGTTACATAGTGTCTTTTGTTAAATTATCATGTAAACTTTCACTGTTACAGAGTGTCGTTTGTTAAATTGTCATGTAAACTTTGATTGTTACATAGTGTCTTTTGTTAAATTATGTAAACTTTGACTGTTACAGAGTGTTGTTTGTTAAATTATCATGTAAACTTTGACTGTTACAGAGTGTCATTTGTTAAATTATCATGTAAACTTTGTTACATAGTGTCTTTTGTTAAATTATCATGTAAACTTTGACTGTTACATAGTGTCTTTTGTTAAATTATGTAAACTTTGACTGTTACAGAGTGTCGTTTGTTAAATTATCATGTAAACTTTGACTGTTACAGAGTGTCTTTTGTTAAATTATCATGTAAATCTTGACTGTTACAGAGTGTCTTTTGTTAAATTATCATGTAAACCTTGACTGTTACAGAGTGTCTTTTGT